CTAATCCACTTACTTGGATCCATTTAATCCACTTGATTAGATTTTTTTTTATCATTACATCAAAGTCAACTAATATCCACCCCTTTATGTATACTCCTTTAACATGGTGTAATAATACAGTTCTCAAGAGTTGCAAGTGTCATCTTCCCTTGTAGGGATGTAAACAGTCCGCCCTTATTAACATTTTGTATCTTTTTGTCCCATATACCTTTTTATGTCTTTCTTGAATCTTGTACTTGAAGATCAAATTTTTTGTTGAGCTCTGGTCTTTTTATGAGAAAGATTTGGAAGTCCCCTATTTCGTTGAATATCCATCTTCTCCCTTGAAAAATCATGCTCATTTTTGCAGGGTAGTTGATCCTTGGCTGCAATCCAAGCTCCTTTGCCTTATGGAATATCATGTTCCATGCCCTGTGGTCTTTTAATGTAGAAGCTGCAAGGTCCTGTGTAATCCTGACTGTGGTTCCATGATATTTAAATTGTTTCTTTCTGGCTGCTTGCAGCACCTTCTCTTTCATCTGGTAATTTTGGAATTTTGCTATATATTCCTTGGCATTGTCAATTTGGGATCTCTTTCAGGTGGTGAGTGGTGTATTCTTTCTATGGTTATTTTACCTTCTGTTTCTAGGACTTCTGGGCAGTTTTCCTTTATGATTTCCTGAAAGATACTGTCCAGGCTCTTTTTTTCATCATGATTTTCAGGTAGTCCAATGATTTTTAAATTGTCTCTCCTGGATCGATTTTCCAGGTTGGTTGTTTTACCCATGAGGTATTTTACATTTTCATCTATTTTTTCATTTTTTTGTTTCTATTTGACTGATTCTTGCTCTTTCATAGAGTCATTAGTTTCCATTTGTCCAATTCTAGTTTTTAACAGATTGTTTTCTTCTGTTAGTTTTTGTACTTCCTTCTTCAATTGGCCAATTGTGTTTTTTAGGGACTTGTTTTCTTCAGTGTACTTTTTTTCCAATTGGCCAATTGTATTTTTTAAGGACTCTTCTACCTCTCTCATTAGACTTTTAAAATCCTTCTTGAGCTCTTCTAAGAAGGCTTTTTGGGCTTCAGACCAGTTCATATTCCCTTTTGATGTTGCAGATGTGGGTTTGTTGACAATGTTGTCCTCTTCAGAATTTCTGTCTTGATCTTCACTCTTCTCATAATATGAATCTATGGTATGTTTCTTTTTACTCATGGTTTCTTTATTCCCTGGCCTTTAAAGAGATTGAGCTCTCCTGCTGGGGAACAGAGGGCACTGACCCAAGCTTCTTGTGTTGGGAGCCTAGGTCTTGGTCACTGGCTTTGTGTGCTGGGGCCTCTTATGTTGGCAATTGGAGGCTGTAGGGTTTTGGCAGCTTACCTCATGTTGGGCTGGAATCAGCAAGGCTGGAACTTTCAGGCAATTCTAGGTTGCCTGCTTTTCCTTTCCTTTAGCTTTCTTCAGCTCCTTTCAGATGAATGCTGTAGGGTACTTATCTGCCTGGGGCCCTTTGTAGTGCTGCTTCCCTTATTTTTGCTGAGGCACTGGGAGATCCATTTGCTGGGCTGCTGCGCTGCTGTTCCCCGTCTTTCTTCTAGTTCAGCTGTTCCAGGTTTGTTTTTTTTTTCTGGGGTGATATTTTCTGGGTTTTCAGAGGTTGATAGGGGTGGGTGAGAGTGACTACCTTTTTACTCTGCCATCTTGGCTCCCAGAAGCCTTCAACTTAAATTCTTAGAAATTTCCTTAGAGCACTGACTATGACCTTAAGTGACTTGCTCAATTTGCACATAGCCAGGATATATCAGACACAGGACTTGAATCCAGGTCTTGCTGGCTTCAAAACTGGCTCTGTATCCACTATGCTGCCTGTCCAGTTAATGAAACTAAACCAATACATTGCCAGACTGGAGAGTACAAATGAATGAATGAAAAAACTAATTGTGTTTGATATGTGCCCAGCACTCAGATAGGCACTGGGGATACACATACAAAATAAGATACTGCCCCTGCTGGGTGGGAAACAACACTTGGAGGGGTAGCGTGGCCAGAGAGATGTGGGGAGTCCCAGAGATGGTGGGTTGATTGTCCATTGATGTAACCCTTCCAGAATTGCCAGTAGAAGTGACTTGATTACTGTACCCAGGAGAAGAGGTGTAAAGAGAGGAACGGTGTGGGTGGTCAGGGTAGCAAGGTAGAAGTCAAGATGGCAGATGCCTGGATGTGCTTTGAAGCATGGTCTATGAACTGGGGTCGGCTAGGTAAGATTGAAGTTGGTTAAAAATCAACATCTCTCAGTTTTGTGGTAGAAGTTCCAAAGCTAAGTGGATGAACTTCCTCAGGGACCAAAGGGGAATATTTTAAAATAGTATTCTGCAGTGTGTTTTTCTGGCATTTCTCACATTTTCTCAGGGTCATTCTTTAACAGCAGCTGGTCCTAGTCAATTTTATTCCAAAACTCAGGAGACAGGAGGCACTATCTCCGATAAAAGCTGGTCTGATGATAATAATAACAGCTAACATTTATAGGGTGTTTATAAAGTGCTTAACAGATATCATTTCATCCTTACAATAATCCCAGGAGGTAGTTGCTATTATTATCCCTATTTTACAGATGTGCAAACTGAGACTTGACAGAGGTTAAGTGACTTTCCCAGGGTCATATAGCTAGTAAGTGTCAGGTTGGAGTGACCTCAAGTCTTCCCACCTCCAAGTCCATCACTCTGTCTGCTGCAACACCCAGATGCTTAGGTATGATGAGCATGGTAGAGAAGGCCATTAGAAAAAATGTTTTGATTTGATTCCATGTGGGAATGTGCCTTGCTATACAGAAACTTGATATAAAGACATTTGCTATTTCAAATCCCATCCGTCTAGTTTCAAGCACTCTGACATGAGTTTGAAATTAGAATTAAAATTTTATTATTATTAGAATGTTGTTAATATTATTGTTATATTACTGGGCAGCAAGGTGGTGCAGTGGATAGAGCACTGGGTCTGGAGTTTAAATCTGGCCTCAGACACTTACTAGCTGTGTGACCCTGGCAAGTAACTCAACCCTGTTTGCCTTAGTTTCCTCATCTGTAAAATGAGCTGGAGAAGAAAATGGCAAACCACTCTAGTATCTTTGCCCAAAAAACCCCAAATAGGGTCATGAAGAGTCAGCCATGACAGAAACAACTGAACAACAGAAACTATTATTAGATCTAATATATATTATTATTACAATAATTAATAACTCTAAGGGTTTGACACGAACGTGCTTCCTCATTGTTTTCATTTATAGCTGGGTATTTTCCAGCGGAAGAATCTCGTTGTTCACTTACCATTGTACTTGAAATCTCTGCCTCTTTTGGGGCTCAGAATCTTCTACTGGTCACTCCTCAAAGGTATTGGCTTCCAGGATACCACAATTCAACAAAACAGTCAGTCTCTGCTGGGGTGATACAACGGGTACATAGATAATGAGATGGAGGGTAATTTGAGGAGACAGAAGGCACTGATAACTACTGGGAGTTTCAGGGAAGGCTGCCCACCTGAGATGGCACCTGAACTAGCTTTGAAGGAACATAGAAATTCTTAGAAGCAGAAATAAGGAGAGAGAGCTTTCCAGGCATGGGCAAATATGTGGAAGGCTATGCCAAGACCGGCTGTATTTTACCTTAGCAGCTGTGGGGGCCGGGGAAGGATTTTGAGCAGGGCAGACCATACTTTAGGAAGATTATTTTAGCAGCCTCTCAGTGTTGGGGAGAGATTGGAGAGAAGAAGAGCTTGGAAGTAGTGAGACCAATTAGGAGCAAAGATACTGGAGTGCTTTGCCTTTTCCTTCTCCAGCTCATTTTACAGATGGGTAAACTGAGATAAACTGTGACTTGCCCACAGTCACACAGCTATTAAGTATCTGAGGCCAGATTTGAACTCAGGAGAGGAGTCTTCCTGACTCTAGGCCCAGCACTCTATCGATTAAGCCACCTAGCTGCCCCTAGGATGTGGGGGTCAGGAAGACCCAGTTTTGTGTTAGATGCTCACTAGCTTTGTGACTAATCCTGAACCTCTCAGTCCTCATCTATAAAATGAGCACAATAATAACCTATCTTTCAGGGTCCCTTTGGAGCTCTAATGGATAATTCTTATAAAAAGGTTTGGACACCTTAAAGTGCTACATAAAAATTAGTTATTGTGATATTACTATTTTATCTGGGGTTGTTTTAGGTGAGTTTCAGCCACTCACCAACCTATTGGGACAGCTGCACTTCAGTGGAGCTGGTTGGATGAGCTCCTGGGAGGGTGGAGATGCTCTCTGGAAGGTGGTGTCTGGACCATCTGTGCCCCAGGTAGAGGGAGCATATCACTGTTCACAGATGCCTAGTGGCCATTTTCTGAGGCTGGAAATGATTGTTCTTTGGCATTTATGAAAACAGGGCTGAGATTTCCTGCCCAGGCTCATCTATGTTTCTTTCCTGTTTTTCTCAAAGGCCTGGCACAATCCATTTTTTTTTTTGTTCTTGTGTCCTTTGGGCTTTATTTTTTGGGAAAACCCCTTGAAACCAACAATTGGGGAGATGCAAGACGGGGCCGATAATTTTCTGGCTTTCCCGTCTTCTCTTAGTTTTCTTTGGCAAGATGTTGCTTATTATTGAAGGGGCGGAAGCTTACCTGGGAGGGAGAAAAGGAAGGTTCTCTCCAGAGATCCCCAGGGCCAGTTGTCTTCCACAGTGCCTTCTTCTGTTCTCTGATTTTCAGCTTAGTCATTTGACCTCAGGCTAAGGCAGTTCAAGGAAGACAGCTTTTCTTTGCCTTGGCCCAGTTCTGTATTTGTTCCTTGTCTCTTTTCTGCTTGGTTACCGGGCTTGGTCAGGCTCACCCGCTGACTTGGATGAGGCAATCAGATTTGCAGAATCTGACCTAAGGTATGGGAATGGTCTTAACTGTACTGGATGGAATCAGGGTTGCAGATGCCACCCTGAAGGAGTTTTAATAAAATACCCCAGTTCTAATGTTTTTCCTCTTTTTTGCTCTTTTGTAGATCACCCTGCACCTGAAACCCATCTCATCAGTGCATATTCATCAGAAATCTATTGTGTTCCTGCTCAACTCCCCTCAGCCTATGGTCTGGAAGTTAAAGACTGAGAGGCTTGCTCCTGGTGTCCCCAGACTTTTCTTTGTAAGTGCTTATTATTACCCACTGAAACTAACAATTGAGTGAAGAAGTGGTATTCCCTACTACCTTCGTGGAGTGAGCACTGGATATGAAGTCTGAGGACCTGGGTTCAGATCCTAGTTTCTTCCACTTACTACCTGTATATCCTTTGGCAAGTTGTTTACTGGCCCTGGATCTCAGTTTTCTCATTATAAAATGATTGGGGTCCCTTTTCTGCTCTGAATCTGTTTCTGTGACATAGACTGGCTTTGGTCTTGGTATCCTTAAGCAAGAGAGATGCAGTGTGGTACAGTAGACAGAGAACTGTCCTTGGAACGGGGAAGATCTGGGTTTGAGTTCCAGTTCTGACATATACTGTCTGTGTGGCCCTGGGCAAGTCATTTATAAAACTGAGGCCACTGCTGTCAAGTTCACAGTCTACCAAATGCCAGAACCAGATTAAGATGTAATTGGGAAATGTTTAATAACATAAACAAAAATATAGTACAGTGTTTGGAGGGTTGTTAAATTGTTTTCCAGTCATGCCCAACTCTGAAACCTCATTTGAGGTTTTCTTGGCAGAGATGCTGGTTTGCCATTTTCTTCTCCAGTAGGACAAGATAGATAATGTTAATTTGTAGTTTTCTAATAACAACAACAAAAACCCAGTATGCAGGAGTGTAGGGATTGGTTTCTATTTGACTTTGACACCAGTATTTTAGGAAGAAAAGGTGCTTTGGTGGAGCCAAAAAATCCACGATGAAATCCCAGGTCCATTCCCTATCCTTGGGCACGTCTTAATATTTCTGGACCTCTTTGGGGGGTTGAATGAACCAAACAATCCTGAGATTTCTTCTGCCCTTGAACCTTCTGTACTTGAGAGTGTAAGCTTCTTTTATGAAGCAATTCCACCCCGCCCCTATTTTCCCCAAAAAAATATTAATAGAAAGTCACATTTCTGGTGTATATTCTCGTAAGGTGTTAGGAAGCCTTGCCAGGCCATTGGAGAAAGTACCCATTTGTATTTCAGGGAAACTGATGGCTAATAGACCCCAGCAGGCTGAGGCATCAGAAACACTTGTGTGGCCTAAGCTTTGATTTCAGCCCTTGGTCTGCCCCCGTGGCACCAAGAGCATTATAAACATTGTAAATAGCCCCTTGATGTGTGGTCTCGGACCACAACATAAACATGCGCGAGGCTATCTTGTTTTGTCTGTAAGAAGGGCCTTCTTTCTGATAGGAGGATTCCTCCAACTTTGTTACGGGCAGCACCCCAGTGAAGTCATTTCTGTTTTGTAGAACACTGCATCTACGGAGAGAGCCAAACATTACCTACTGTTTGTAAATCATGGCCTCTTCATTTGCCAGCACGTCCAAGTTTGCTAGTTGTCATGAATTAGACGCGTTGTTTAGATGGGATTTTTGGGGTATGACACCATGTCTGATGATGAGTGTGACGGCCGCTTTGCTGTGATAGCTCACAGTTTCTCTTCATAGAGATACATGCTCATATTGTTAGCTGTTAGGACCTCAGCTTTGAGCCCTAAGCTTTTGAATTTTGGCCCCTCCTAAGTGGGATGGAACATAAGGCATCTGAGACAAGTGGAGGCCTAAGCTCTGAGTATTTCTGCCTTCAGGGTGTCCCATAAAACTGGCAGTAGGAGATTGAAAGTAATTCAAAGTATTATTACCTTCTATGGGTAGATGAACTCTAGTTTTGAAAAATCTCAAAGATTTACCAGTTAAGAAGGCTTTAATTTGACCCATGGCTAAAAGAATCCCCCTTGTAAAACTGCAAGGGGCCAGTAATCATTTAGTAATTAGGATTGCTACTCCTCCTAATTACTTTTATGTACTCAGTCTATGTGGTGTGAGGCTCATGATCACATGCACACATACACCCACCCCCCCACACACACCCCTTACTTTCCACAGCCTAGGCAATACTCCCCATTATCATGGTCCAGGGAAAATTTATGTTGCAGTATGATAAAGTTGGAGCCTGGATCTGTTAGATTGACCTCTATTTCCATTAAAAGTATGTTGGCTCAAGAATGTCTGATGTCAGCTAAATTTCTGAGTGGCTCATTTTATCCTAACTTTGTAGTTCTGTTGGGAAAATAGACTTGTATTCTTAATTATAAACAGCCCAATGGTGCCCAAATTCTTGTATGTCCTTGTCTAAGGGAGCCATATTAAAAGTAAGGGTCATGTAATAATAGATTTTCAGAATTGGAAGGGACATCATTGGTCATCTGGTCTGTGCCCAAGAAAATCTCCATGCCCAATGAGTGAGGACTCAGCCAGCTTCTGCTTGAAGGGAGAACCCACCACCTCCCACCTGTCCACTTTGGGACAATTCTCATTGCTAAAACATCATTCCTGATGTTGAGCTTAAATTGGCCTCTTTGTGACTTCTGGGGGCAGTCAGGTGGTGCAGTGGGTAGAATGCTGGGCCTGGAGTCAGGAAGACTCATTTTTGAGAGTTCCAAGCCAGCCTCAGATACTTACTAGCAGTGTGACCCTGGGCAAGTCACTTAACCCTGTGTGCCTCAATTTTCTCATCTGTAAAATGAGCTGGAGAAGGAAACAGTAAACCACTCCAGTATCTTGGCCAAGAAAAACCACAGACAAGGTCGTGGAGAGTTGGACATAACAGAAGAGCAACAAAATGCCCAAGGTTGCACAGGGGGTAAGCATCAGTGACACAATCTAATTCTAGGTCCCCAGACTCCGAAGTCAAGAGTTTTTTTCCATCATGTCTTGATGCTTTTTAACTTCCTTCTTGGATCATTTACAAAACTAAGTGGTGCTTTTGGCAGAATTTAATTTCTCTGACAATATTTGTTAATGAAAAAACCCACAGTTTTCTGATAGAGTTATAGGGTGGTGGTTTTTAGTCAGGTTAGTTGTGTCCACCTGTTCATGATCCTATTTGAGGTTTTCGTGGTAAGGATGCTGGAGTGGTCGGCCATTTCCTTCTCCAGCTTATTGTACAGGTGAGGAAACTGAGGCAGTCAGGTTAAGTGACTTACCCAGGATCAAAAAGCTCTTAAGTGTCTGAGGCCGGATTTGAACTCAGGTCCTCCTGACCTTTAGAGTATCCTAGCGTTAAAAAAAAAAAAAAGCAAAATAAAATAATCCTTGAAAGTTAGAATTTTATGTTACTGGGAAATGCAGGGAAATGTCTGGTCAGAAGCAGGCGGACCAGTCAGGTAGTGAGAATGGGGGCTGTCAGCTGGACAGCCACGGTGCTACTGTGGCAGTAGAGCAATAAACCAGTATTGGCTGTCACAGATTATGGATCTTAATCTATCTAGAGAAAGGTCTTCCTCATACCAGGAAGACTTATTTATTGTAGCATCTAGATGGTTTATTGGATAGATGGCTGGACTAGGAGTCAGGAAGATCTGAGTTCAAATTCTGCCTTAGATACAAGCAAGTTTTTCATCTTTTCAAGCTCTCTGAGTTGACTTTCACCCCAAATCGATCATCCCGTGATAATGAGTAACAGTCCGATATCTGTTCTTGTCTCTGGGTTCTTGTATAGGGTGATGGCCAGAGGGATGTGACCTTGTCATGGATTATGAAGAGAAGGGGATAAGCATTTCTATTGTGCCTGTTATGTGCCAGGAACTGTGCTAATAGCTTTTTATTATCTCACAACAACTGTGGCAGGTAGGTGCAGTTGAGGAAACTGAGGAAGACCGAGGTTAAATGACTTGCCCTAGGTCACACAGTTAGGATGCATCCAAGGCTGAATTTGAACTCAGGTCTTCTTGACCCCACGCCCTGTGCTCTATTCATGGAGTCACTTAGATGCCCCAGTATATGCCTAGCATACTTTAAATGACATAGAAATTAGTGCCAATAAGCTCTTTTATTTAAAATGATAATTGAGGAAATCAAGAGATCATTGAATTTATTTTTTTCTCTTTTTTAATAGTATTTTATTTTTCCCCATCCCATGTTGACAATTTTTAGCATTCATTTTTATAAGATTTTTGAATTCCAAATTTTTCTCCCTCCCCTCCCGCTTTTGAAAATGGTAGGCAATTTGGCATAGGTTATACATATGCTATCATGTCATATTTCCACATTAGTCACATTTGTGAAAGAAGAAACAGATCAAAAGGAAAAAAACGTGAGAAATTATAAAGTAAGTGACAAAAAGATGCTTCGATCTGCGTTCAGAGTCCATCAGTTCTTTATCTGGATATGAATAACATTTTCCTTCCTGAGTCCTTTGTCCTTGTCTTGGATCACTGTGTTGCTGAGAAGAGCTGAGTCATTCCTAGCTGATCATCATACAATGTTGCTGATACTGTGTACAATGTTTTCCTGGTTCTGCTCATTTCACTTTGCATCAGTTCATACAAGTCTTTTCAGGTTTTTCTGAAATCTGCCTATTCATCATTTCTTATTGCACAATGTATTCCATTACATTCATATATCATAGCTTGTTCAACCATTCTCCAATTAATGAACATGCCCTCCATTTCTAATATTTTGCTACATGAAAAGGGCTGCTATAAATGTTTTTGCGCATGTGGGTCCTTTTCCCTTTTTTAGAGATCATTAAATTTAGAGCTAGAAGGAATAGTAGAGACCTGTCCTCTAGTCCAGACATTTTATAAATGAGCAAACTGTGGCCAACTTGCTTAAAGTCACCAGAGTTCTTTTTTTTTTATTAGCTTATTTTGATTTATCAACAATCACTTCCACATGCTTTTGAGTTTAAATTTTTTCTCCCCTTTCTCCCCATCACCCTCCCCAAGACAGTGCACAGTCTGATATAGGATAAACATTTACATTCCCATTAAGCATATTTTCACATTAGTGAAGTTGTAAGTAAAAATTAAAACCAATAGGAGGAACCATTAGAAAGAGGAAACAAAACTCAACAGAAGAGGAAAAAAAATGATACGATTCAACTTCCATAGTTCTTTCTTTGGATGTGGATGGCATTTTCCATCACGAGGCCTCTGGAGATGTCTTAGATCTTCGTAATGCTGAGAAGGGTT